ATATCAGAATAAAAAAAGCTACACTTGGCCAAAAGGTTGAGAAGCAATAAAAATAATGTTTTTTTCTTTTCTTTCACTGATATCTTCTGTTGCTGTTTATCTGTGGCATTTTTAAAATAATTCACTTAACAATATAAAAAGCAAATTTTTAAAAAAAATTGTGTGTAAAACAGATCCATGCAAATCCAAAGTTAAATTATTTCAGGGCATTTGAAGCCTGTTGGCTATGACTTCAGCCTATACTCAACCTGAGCAGGCGAAATCACATGGGCGCGTTTGTGATGCAGTTTCTGATGAATGGCACCTGTCACAAAGAAAGTCCAAGCTTTCTTTGACAATGCTGCACTATGTCGCAGAGCATGCAGGGATGCTTTTGGCAAGAGAATCCAAGAAGCTTTGCCGGTTGTAAGGAGACCATCTCTGTGAAATGAAATGATCTCTGTTCCCAAAGGTGAACATATTCTGTTCAAATATCAAGCTTTAATAATTTCTTCAAATACCTGAATATTAGTAATCGCTCAAAAGTAGTTCCAGCTTAAATTGTATTAGCCTGGCTTAATTCTCCCAGGTACTCCTAAACTTTCTTTTAAAATGGTTTGGGGCTGAGCGTGGTGTAATTCCAGCACTTGGGGAGGCCGAGGCGGAAGGATCGCTTGAGGCCAGGAATTCATGACCAGCCTGGGCAACATCACAAGACCCATCTCTATAAAAAATACAAACCTAGCCAGGCGTGGTAGCGTGCACCTGTAGTCTCAGCTACTGCGGATGCTGAGCCAGGAGGATCACTTGAGCTTAGGTGTTGGAGTTTGCAGAGAGCTATGATCATGCCACTGCACTCCAGCCTGGGAGACAGAGTTAAGACTCTGTCTCAAAAAAATAGTTTGGGGTTAAAAAATGAAGACACTATAGAGATTAATTAAGATTGCTATCCTCTTTTCTACCATGACCACGCTCTAGTTCTCACTTGGAGGTAGGAGTGAGGAGCTATAGCTATACATCTGAATGTAAAACGGGAAGGACGTCTTTTGGTACCAAAGAAATCATTCTCTATGGAGCGTGGTCTGAGAAGCTTCCCATGAGTTGCTTATCTGAGAAATCATTTGATCGGGTTCCAGCATGACAATATGAACAAGCCCAAGTGGTGTTGTGTTTTTATTATTGTGTATCAAAACTTCGTGATGATGATGTTTTACCCACAATTACATTAAACTATGGAGAACTTTTGAATATTTCAAGGAGTTGAAGGACAGAAGATCATTTTGTTCTGGGTAGTACAAACTGATCCCACAAAATTCTGGGCTGCTTGAGAGAAGGAGCTTGCTTACTTTCTCTTGTATTCCCCTGTAGCGCGGTGCAGGGAACTGGGCACAGAGTACGCATTTACAAACTTGGGAGTGGCTGATGCATAGCTAACTTCTACTTAAAAACATTTTAATTCAGTCAGTTATTAATTTTTTCAATATTTTTCTCAGTTGAAGGAAATCTAAATACAGTAACTATCTTACCAGTTTAGTGGTTCTTTTGTTCAGTACTCTGTTTAGTGGCAAATGAGATGTTTTGTTCACAATACTGAGAAACTTTTCTAGATAACAAATTCTTCAAGCAAGAATAGAAATGTGGCCTAATTTAGACTATGAAGATATATCAAAATACGTTTATTCATGTGGCCCCCAAGAAGGAAAGTTATAAACAAGGGCAAAAGCAGGTTTTATAAACATATGATGTCAAAAGATCCTATCTTTCTCTTAAAGTAAGAAATGATTGGGCCGGGCATGGTGGCTCACGCCTGTAATCCTACCTAGTCTCTGGGAGGCCGAGGCGGGCGGATTGTTTGAGCTCAGGAGTTCGAGACCAGCCTGAGCAAGAGCGAGACCCCGTCTCTACTAAAAATAGAAAGAAATTAATCGGACAACTAAAAATATATAGAAAAAACTAGCCGGGCATGGTGGCGCATGCCTGTAGTCCCAGCTACTCGGGAGGCTGAGGCAGGAGGATCGCTTGAGCCCAGGAGTTTGAGGTTGCTGTGAGCTAGGCTGACGCCACGGCACTCTAGCCCAGGCAACATAGTGAGACTCTGTCTCAAAAAAAAAAAAAAAAAAAAAAAAAAGGTTATTGAGACATTATTTCTTATTCAGGTTTGTTTATCTGTAAAGCCAGTAACAATCTTAAATTATCTCTCTTTAAAAGGATGAAAGTAAATGCTTCAGTTGCCTGAACAACTATGTCTGGGGCATTCATTGCTTGTATAACTCTTTTGTAATTTAACCTTATAAAATCTTTTAAATCACATGAAAACATATAAACAAATTCTATCTGATTAATGTTAATCTCACAAGGCCCAGTTTTAAAACTGGAAAGCCAATTAGTCATGCCCTCTTATTCTGTAGTAGATACATAATAAATGCAGTGCAACATTTTTCCATCTAAGTTTTGGGGTACCATTCCAACACCCATGTTACACTTTTGCCTAGTTTATACCACAGGCCTTCATTTTATTTTAAATAGCAAATGAAGAATTAGACAGGTACTTGAACACTCTTGCATAGTTGTTGAAACTTCTTTTTTAACGGTTTTGTGCATGTAGGGGAGATATTTTAAAAGAAAAAATTGTATCTGGGATAACTGGAAACCTTTGCCTATAGTCATGGAATTCTGGGAGTTTGGTCCATTCATTATAAGTTGAGGGAGGATGCCCTCAGAAAACATTAGTTCAGCTTACTCTGAAGAATGGACTAGATAGGGGGTAATTTTCACTAGCATTAACCTTTAGAGAAAAGCATAGTTGTGAAATCATTTTTGGAATTAAACAAAACACGCTGTTTACGTGTATGCACCAAGTGATGGAGTCACTGATTTTGTGATTTCTAGAGATGTTTGATTTCTGTGTTGAGACTTTGAGCCTGCTGTTTGAATATCTGCTGTACTTTCCCTTCTATTTCCGAGCATCGGCACCCACATCCGTGGTGTACACCCCAGTTTCAGACTGCCTGAGACTGGATCCATCATCTCATCTCTAAGCCCTTAACAGCAAGTGCTTGGTTCTACTCTCTGGACTTGCTTCTCAGTGGCATAGGACATGATAAACACATGAAAATATCAACAACAAAAGGGAATTAAATTGTCTTTAGCAAATTTTTTGGCACAAGATTGGTAGCCATACTTGGAAGAGTGTGAAAGATATTATGTAGCAACAATTCGGAATAATAATTTAGTGTCTTCACAAATATTGCAAGTCTTGTAATTATTCAAAATCACTCTTACATCACCATTATAATAATGAACACTTTCATGGTACTTCTATGTGCTTGGTCCAATCCTCAGTACTTTATATAGACTAATGCACAGAAACTGAGTGCATCTTGTTACAGAAAAAGGAAAACAACACTGAGCAGTTATGTCCAAGATTACATAACCAGTAAGTGGTGGTGTTGGGATGCAAGCCCAGGACACAAACTAGGGACTCTTCTTAATAATTATGGTTGCATGGAAGAGCTCTTGGAATTTCCATCATAAAAATATAATTTAAATCACCCTACTTATGAGCCATTGCCTGTTAGAACAACTTCGGTACAGAAGAACTACAACTGTTAACCAATAACAAGTGGCATCACAATGATTACTCTTGGTTGAAAACGAGCATTAGCAGATTGCAAATATGGGCTGATAATGAATGTGCAAGACTCTGAAATAATTTAAAATTTGGTAGTTATATTTTTCCACCTGATTTAAACCACTAGAAAAATGTCATGTTAATTAAGTAATTTTACAATGGGTTAAAGTTAACCCACATTTTTCTAGAAAATGAAATCTTAATTGTCCCTTACAGATGATTCTTCAATCAACCCCACATTCACATATTAATAATCTGCTAACACTTGAGCTACTCATCCATTCCCACGGTGGGGCAAACGTCCTGGATAAGCCTGACATGTCCATGTCTCCCTCAGGCGTTAGGCTCTTTTAACCATATCCAGGAAGGAGAGATAAAAATATGTATGTAGTATTGAGGAAATTAGATATGCATTAGGAATATTCATTAAGAATAGCATATAATAACTTGTTAAATGATTTGTTTTCTTTCTTTAAAAAAGAGAATTTTCTTTTATAATTCAAAATATTATGTAGAACTTTAAAAATTAAAGCTAATATAATACCAGATATAAAACTTCATTGTCCTAAAATGGAATAGACTTATTGCTGTTTCCCAAAGAGAATTCAAGATGTTTCCCAGGCACCACCCATCCTATCAGAGTTGAAGTCTAAGGTATCTTCGTAAATCCTGAAGGAGGACAGGATATTCATCTCTTCAGGTTATAGCCAATAATCATCCCATTGTTTGCTTTTCAAGCAAGTTAGTAGTAAAGCTTATCATTTTTTTTTCAGCTAGTTGTAAAATATACTTCTTAAGATTCTTTACTAAATTATTTCTTAGCTGGACCCTAAAACCACAGTACAGTTTTAGGACAAGACAATAGGCAAATTATTCCATTGGTAAACAGTATAAGTTCCTTCTGCAAACATTTTATTATTGGCTCTGAAATATACACAGAAAAAGCTAGAAGTTTAAGAGCACCTAAGATAAAAGTGAAAAGAAAAGTTACTTTCTAGTAGTAACTTAATTTTCCTAGTTATTTTGAGCCCACATTCGAATCTTGGACCGTACAGGGGTATGTGGGGATACGCAGACAGCGCTGCTTCTCATTTCGTTCTCTACATGTGCCATCCCCTGAGGTAACCAAGGCAACAGGTCACACACAGGTGGAGACTTGGAGTGCAGAGCTTGCAGTTAGCGGCCACAAATAACTTCTTTTGTGAGCTACCAAGAAGGGTATTAGGAGAGATGGGATTACGGTCTCGCAGGTTTGGTGACTGGGGTGAGCCCTTGGGGCCCGGGTGGACACTGAGGCGCTGACACAAATAGACCCACATATACACGATGCACATCAGACCCCAGTGACATTCATTTCCAAGCTGTTAGGTTACCGAGGAGGGAGCCTTACCCGGGCCTTCTGCTCCATCTCTAGCATTAATCTTTCATGTTGCTCAGCTATGGCCAGTGTCGCGGAATGGACCTTCTGATAGATCATTTCTCCTTCCCTTGTTTGAAAAGTGAATAGTCCTTCTCCTGTGTCACACATTCTGTGAGAACAGAGATAGGGAAAGAGATGGGTCTTCATGCGTAACAGTTTTCCACGTCCAAGACGCCCTCGCCCTTGTGTTACGTCCTCCTGAACTTTCATGGGAGTTAGTGAAGCAGATTCCTCCTTGACCAAAGCAACCAAAAATCGCTTCTTTAAATAGTACAGGAGAACAGAACTAAGGGTGAAAACTCATGTATATTTGGATCTTTAAAGATGAAGTGTTCACGACAGTGTAAAGGAACAGGTAGAAAGTGATTTAGGTAATGGCAGTGCATGCCTGAACGATATTTAAAGAATAAAAGCCAATCGTTATTTTCTTTAAGGATTTTCAAGTGTGTGATATAATATAGCACTATCGGCTATGAGTTGACAGTTCCTGAATTTAAAGAACTTAAGAAAAATCTGCATTTTTTTCCTCAATGGAACCAAGGAGAAGACCATACATTTTTTAATACATTTTTATTTTTATACACTTTTTAGTTTATGGATTTGCATACATGGGCTGAATCTTTTATTTAAACTGAGTAATTCTTAAGTAAATCGTGGTATAGCCTAGGGTACAACATAGTATAAAGGAGACTCAATTTGAAGATGAGAATATTTGGTTTGAACGTTGTCTCTGCTACTTACCAGCAGTGGGACCTTGGGCAAGTTATTCAACTTACCCACTTTCTACACCTCTAAAAAAGAAATAATAATAGGACCCATCTCATAAGATTCTTACAAAGGTTAAAAGAGTTGACACAAAAAATATTTATAGCACTGCTTAGCACATATTAAGTGCTTCACAAATATTAGCTATTACTAATTTCATTATACAGAAAATTTTTAACTAATCTAAATATCTACCATAAAGAAATGGCTGGACTAATTATAGTATTTTTATTTGCTATTGTGATACAGACTATTATGCTATTATGGTACAGTCTTGTGGACAGGACATTATGCAGCTATTACTGTCATTTCTGAGAGCCTATAATAACATTAAAATTCTTATGTAAATGCAGAAAAAAATCAGAATACAAATTCTTTTTCAATTATCTAATTATAATTACCTTTTTAAATCATAATTTTTCATTGGAAAATACTCACTGACAAGTTGTCAGTAGGATTATAGGTATGTTTTATTAACAAAAATAATACTGAAATGAAAAAATATTTTGAAGATAATTGAAGGACTTCAAAAAGACCCACCCAATGTCAATATGATGTTAAGACTCAGATATTGGATATTAACTGGATGCCTGTGCTGTTGGTTTTCAGGTTATAACATCAAAATATTATGAGGACAAACCATTTCTTCAAGCACCAAAAAGATCTTAGATTCTTGTCTATGATTCTCCAAGGAATTTTTAGTAGAAAAGAAATGTCTCAAGAGGCCTTAGACATTACAGAGGCTGCAATGGTGATCCCTTAGGGCCTCATAGAGCCAGCACTTAGCTTCTCTGGAAGAGATCTTAATAAAATCCACACAGCGTGAAATGGAAAGTCTAGGGCAAAAAATGAAGAGTTTTCACAAAGTGAAACAAATGAGCTTTCTTTGTCGATTCAGAGGAGTAAGGAAATCCAACAGCAGCAGCAGGAAAACCATTGATAAGTAGTGGGTGCATCTTGTTTGAAGTTGGGTTTTGTTCACTGTCATCTGAAAAACACTGCTTTTTAGCCTTTGGAAATGAGATAATGAAGACACAAATTGTTATTTCATATTCAGTCATTGAGATGTGAATTTCTAATTCCTGTCCATTTTGGGGGACTTAACTCTGCCCAGTAGGGGAGTTTGAATGCTTACAGGAGGGTTTTTTTTTCAGTCTCTGAAATAAATAAAAACTACCATAAACTTCATCCTTTGATCAACAAATAAGTCACTTAAAATATTAACATAAAAAGTAAAGAAACTTTAAGTAGAAGATGCTCTTTCTTCAATGACTGTACTTAAGCCAAGCTGAAGGTCATGTTCATGACTTTTGTCAGCCTTGTTGGAATAGCTTAGGTTTTCCTGGCTATTGTTTCAAATGTGGTCTTGGGGGGAACAGATACAGAGACCTTTTCATATCTGTCTAAACAGTTTTGTGGTAGCAAGCCTATACCAGAGGAGAAACGTGAAATAATTTAGATGCCTTTTGACTTGGTCCTCAAGGCATGGTCCCTAGACCAGCAGCATCTGTCTTGCTGGAAACATGTCCTGACTACCGAGTCTGAATCTGCATTTTAGCAAGTCCCCGCGTGATTCATGTGCACATTATAGTTTCAGACTCGCTGGCCTACAGACTCTTCCCACAGGTCAACATTTCAGTGAAGAGGAGCAGAAGATGACACGTGAGATACAAATGAGGACATATTAGAAGCCGTATTTGTACAGCTCCTTCAAATACGGAGGAGCTGTATATATAAAACTGTGATATATAAAACTGAAGGTTAGAAAGGAAGAAATATGACAAAAAGAGCAAACAACTCCAAAGAATTCTGTCCTTAATTTGGGAAAAGCAAAAACAAGGTGTTAGTTACACTTGAATCCCCTAACTCTGGGGCCACCAACATACACATTCCTCAATTGCATTCATTTTGTGAAAAAGTGAAAACATAACTGATGTTTGTTTGTCCTGACTCCAAACTAGAATCCTATTGATATCTGTAGACAATTACAAATGGTTTTGCTCTTCATATGAAACTTATTGGTACAAAGTTAATATTTTTCTTATCTAAAATAAAATGATGAAAAATAGAATTCTTCCAGCTCTGAGGAATAGTCTAGGGCCTCATAAAAATTCTAAGATGTCAGTAAATAGGACTGACATACTTATTTTCAGGGTATTTTTTTTTTGACATTGTGATATAGGGAAATTATAACAGTATAAGACTCAAAATACTAGGACACAAATTTCAACCATTGTGGCACGGGCTGCTGTAAAAATTTATCACGTATTTTTCAAGTAGGTACTATAAGCCAGGCACTGTCTTGGGCTTGGGGATGAACATGAGGGAAAACTATACAAGGCCCATTGCCTCTGAGGCTTTTCAAGTAGTGGGGAAGAAAAGCACTGATCAAAGAATCACACATTAGCATAGTATGTGCTGCTGGGGAGAAGCAAAGGGCCATGAAGAAGGCAACGTGGGATTGACCTCAATGAGTTCTTTTACCTATTGACTCCTCATCTATACGATGGGACAAGGTTTTTGTCACAGGTTTTTTTTTAATTAAATGAAGTAATGTACGTGATAGTGGTCAGGGAAGGATTAACTTAGCAGGTCTGTGTTATTCAAACCCTGCACATTCCAAAGAATCCTGTTTTCAGGATGGATCCTTTCCTGGTTTCTGGGATATAACCTCTGAGCTTTTGGAATAATGTGCCTATTTCTGTAAGTCGTAGGCCTTGGGCCATGCTGTACCAGTGTGACCAGATCAATCTATTCCAACAATGTGACTGAGGATGAATGCCTGTTTTTACTCTGATGGAGGCTGCAGTCTTAAACAGCTGAGGTCAGTCGTGGGGGTGCTGCGTGCCTACATGACTGACTCCCAATAAAAACCCTGGAAACCAAGGCTCAGGGGAGCTTCCCTGGCTGACTGCACTTCACATGTTGTCACACATCACTGCGGGGAGAATTTAGTGTGTCCTCACGCAGCACCACTGGGCGGGGGCGCGGCTGGAAGCTTTGCCTGGTCTTCATCTCTTGTGCCTTTTCCCTTTGATGATTTTTAATCCTTATCTCTTGCTGCAGTAAACCACGCTGTGAGTATAACATCTTTTCTTAGTCGTATGAGTTTTTTAGAGAGTCACTGATCCAGAGACTGGTCTTGGGAACCCCTTCCTCTGAGACAGCCAGCATGTGGTAGGTTGTCAATATGTTTAAATACAGCAGGAACCAAAAAAAATCCTGTCTTCTCTCTAAATGGCTGTTTTACATTCTTCTAGGGAATCTAGGAGAGTATCCTCTCTTTCTTTGTCCTACCTCACCACTCATATCCAGAATTACTTGCAATAACAGTAGTGTTAGTCTTGTCTCTGCTGTGTTCTAATAAATAACAGAGAGCTGGAAATCGTGGTGATGTATGATTCATAGGAATCTGAACTCCAAGTGAGGAACCCCACTATTCCTGGTTCCCACAGTTTCTTCCAGGGGAGAAACAGCTCTAGCATACAGTGCCCTGGAGGAATGTTTCTGGAGAAAATCCCTAGTATGTTACTATTAGCCCATACCCTCCTTTTTCTGCCTATAAATCTGTATGAAACTTGCCTCTCTAAGGAGTGACTTCACAATGACAGTCTCTCTTCCAAACGACACACACAATAAATTTACCAAGTCGAAAATTATGGAGACACTTTACTTTTAAAAAGCATAGATACTTTAAAAAAAGTCTTTGTAGGTCTCTAGATGAAATTTTGCTGCAGATGAATTAGTTGACCTCTGCCAATTTTGTCCACCTTCACAGCTGTATAATTTCATTCTGATGCTATGTTTTGCAATATTGTGTACATATTTAATAACCAAATATTTATCCTCCATGCACACAGAAATTTTAAACTCTCAGCAATGGAGTGAGCAAGAGCATGTTCCTGAAAACCCGGTGGTGTTTCTATTCAGTATTTAAAATTTAATGTTTAATTATAGAAAGTAATGAAATTCTTCAAAGCACAGCTTTTCTGTAGAGCAGTTAAAACCAATTAACATTTTAATTCTGTTAACGGTTTAATCTTTATTGTCATTTAACGATGCTAGCATTTTACTTTTTTTAGCTGCTATGAAAAGATTGGTTACTCTGGTGAGTCAGACTTTGATCTGTGCTGAGAAACTCTGGGAAAAATGGACAGACTAAAGCAATGGTATAGAAAGTCAAGAAATAGACCCAATTCATAGAGTTAAATATGTAATCAAAGTAGAATCTCAAATCAGCGAGGGAAATCTGGACTCTTCAATAAACCATGTTGGCTGCTAGCCATTTGGAAACAAATATTTGAATCCATATCTCCAACTCCACTGATAAAAATTCCAGACAAA